ACCCCTCCCTGAGTGACCACCCCCGAGTGACCATCCCCCGAGAGACCTCCCCGAGTGACCCCTCCCCTGAGGACCCCCCCCTGGAGTGACCACCCCTGAGTGACCCCTCCCCGAGTGACCCCTCCCCAAGTGACCCCTCCCCTGAGTGACGACCCTGAGTGACCACCCCGAGTGACCACCCCGAGTGACCCCTCCCTGAGTGACCACTCCCCGAGTGACCACCCCGAGTGACCCCTCCCTGAGTGACCACTCCCCGAGTGACCACCCCCGAGTGACCACCCCGAGTGACCCCTCCCCGAGTGACCACTGACCGCTGCCCGCAGACCAAGGGCCCGCTGCCCGCGGGGACCATCCTGAAGCTGGTGACGTCGGGGGAGGGGAAGCCCACCACCATCCTGACCAGCACGCAGGCGGGGCAGGGGGCGGCCAAGCCCCCCACCATCCTGGGCATCAGCAGCGTGTCCCCCAGCACCACCAAGCCCGGGACCACCACCATCATCAAAACCATCCCCATGTCGGCCATCATCACCCAGTCGGGGGCTACCGGTGAGTGGGACCCCTCCCCAAATTAACTGAACCCGTCCTGAGACCCCCAGACCATCCCTGAGACCCCCAAACCCTCCAAGTCCCCCACCCCCGGGACCACCACCATCATCAAAACCATCCCCATGTCAACCATCATCACCCAATCTGGGGCTACTGGTGAGTGGGACCCCTCCCCAAATTACCCTGAGATCCCCAAACCATCCTTGACCTCCCTGAGACCCCCAAACCCTCTGAGACCCCCACCCCCGGGACCACCAACCCCACCCAAACCACCCCCATGTCAGCCATCATCACCCAGTTGGGAGCTACTGGTGAGTGGGACCCCTCCCCAAATTACCCTGAGATCCCCAAACCATCGTTGACCTCCCTGAGACCCCCAAACCCTCTGAGACCCCCACCCCCGGGACCACCAACCCCACCCAAACCACCCCCATGTCAGCCATCATCACCCAATCTGGGGCTACTGGTGTGTGAGACCCCTCCCCAAATTAACTGAACCCATCCTGAGACCCCCAAACCATCCCCAAAATCCCTGAGACCCCCAAACCTCCCCCCTGAACCCACCCAAACCATCCCCATGTCGTCCATCATCAGTCAGGAGTTACCATTGAGTGGGACCCCTCCCCAAATTAACTTTAACCCCCCCGAGACCCCCCCCCCCAAAATCATCCCTGAGACTCCCAAATTATCCCCAAAATCCCTGAGACCCCCAAACTCCCCCAGCCCCCCAAATCCCCCATCACCACCCAGTCAGGGGCTGCCAGTGAGTGACAGGGGGTGACCCCAGTGTCCCCCTGTGTCCCCCCCGTGTCTGTCCTGTGTCCGTGACCCCCCCGTGTCCCTCCCGGTGTCCCCAGGTGTCACCAGCAGCCCCGGGATCAAGTCCCCCATCACCATCATCACCACCAAGGTGATGACCTCGGGCACTGGGACCCCCGCCAAGATCATCACGGCTGTGCCCAAGCTGGGCGGGGGGCACGGCCAGCAGGGCGTGACACAGGTGAGGGCACACCTGGGGGCACCTGAACCACCCTGGGGACACCTGGGGACACATGAACCACCCTGGGGACACCTGAACCACCCTGGGAACACCTGAACCACCCTGGGGGCACCCTGGGGACACATGAACCACCCTGGGGACACCTGGGGGGCACCTGAACCACCCTGGGGACACCTGAACCACCCTGGGAACACCTGGGGGCACCTGAACTACCCTGGAGGGCACCTGAACCACCCTGGGGACACCTGAACCACCCTGGAGGGACACCTGGGGAAACCTGAACCACCCTGGGGACACCTGAACCACCCTGGGAACACCTGAACCACCCTGGGGGCACCCTGGGGACACATGAACCACCCTGGGGACACCCGGGGACACCTGGGGGACACCTGAACCACCCTGGGAACACCTGGGGGGCACCTGAACCACCCTGGAGGGCACCCTGGGGACACCTGAACCACCTTGGGGACACCTGAACCACCCTGGGGACACCTGAACACCACTGGGGGCACCTGAACCACCCTGGGGGCACCTGAACCACCCTGGGAACACCTGGGGGGCACCTGAACCACCCTGGGGGCACCTGAACCACCCTGGGGGCACCTGGGGGACACCTGAACCCCCCTGGGGACACCTGAACCACCCTGGGGACACCCGGGGACACCTAGGGGACACCTGAACCCCCCTGGGGACACCTGAACTCCCCCGTGGGCAGCTGAGTGGGGACATGGGTGGGGTCAGCTGAAGGGTTGGGGACATGGGTGGCAGTGGGGAGGGGGTTTGGTGACACTGGGGACACCGGCGGGCTGTCCCCGAGGGGTGCCAGCCCCCAGGGTGGCCAGGTGACAGCGGTGTCCCCGTGTGCCCCCCAGGTGGTGCTGAAGGGGGCCCCGGGGCAGCCGGGGACCATCCTGAGGACGGTGCCCATGGGCGGGGTCCGGCTGGTCACCCCCGTCACCGTCTCGGCCGTCAAGCCCACGGTGACCACCCTGGTGGTCAAGGGCACCACGGGTGAGTGGGGGTCACTCTGGGGGTCATTGGGTCACCTCTGGGTCACTGGGGTGGCCACCCTGGTGGTCAAGGGCACCACGGGTGAGTGGGGGTCACTCTGGGGGTCATTGGGTCACCTCTGGGGCACTGGGGTGGCCACCCTGATGGTCAAGGGTCACCTCTGGGTCACTGGGGTGGCCACTCTGGTGGTCAAGGGCACCACCGGTGAGTGGGGGTCACCCTGGGGACATTGGGGTGGGCACCCTGATGGTCAAGGGTCACCTCTGGGTCACTGGGGTGGCCACCCTGGTGGTCAAAGGTCACCTCTGGGTCACTGGGGTGGTCACCCTGGTGGTCAGGGGTCACCTCTGGGTCACTGGGGTGGTCACCCTGGTGGTCAGGGGTCACCTCTGGGTCACTGGGGTGGCCACCCTGATGGTCAAGGGTCACCTCTGGGTCACTGGGGTGGCCACCCTGGTGGTCAAAGGTCACCTCTGGGTCACTGGGGTGGCCACCCTGGTGGTCAAGGGCACCACCGGTGAGTGGGGGGGTCACTCTGGGGGTCATTGGGTTACCTCTGGGTCACCTCTGGGTCACTGGGGTGGCCACCCTGGTGGTCAAGGGCACCATGGATGAGTGGGGGTCACTCTGGGGGCATTGGGGTGGGCACTAGGGGTGGTCACTTGTGGTCAAGGGCCACCTCTGGGTCACTGGGGTGGTCACCCTGGTGGTCAAAGGTCACCTCTGGGTCACTGGGGTGGTCACCCTGGTGGTCAAGGGCACCACGGGTGAGTGGGGGTCACTCTGGGGGCATTGGGTCACCTCTGGGTCACCACCCTGGTGGTCAAGGGCAGCACGGGTGAGTGGGGGTCACTCTGGGGGCATTGGGGTGGGCACTAGGGGAGGTCACTTGTGGTCAAGGGTCACCTCTGGGTCACTGGGGTGGTCACCCTGGTGGTCAAGGGTCACCTCTGGGTCACTGGGGTGGTCACCCTGGTGGTCAAAGGCAGCACTGGTGAGTGGGGGGGGTCACTCTGGGGGTCATTGGGTCACCTCTGGGTGACTGGGGTGGTCACTTGTGGTCAAGGACAGCACTGGTGGAGGGGGGGGTGGTTACCAGGGGGTCATTGGGTCACTGGAGGGGTCATTGGGGTCACCATGGGGTCACTGAGGTGACCACCCTTGTGGTCAAGGGTAGCACCAGGTGGGTGGAGGGGTTGTGGGGACAGTGGGGGGACACCAAGAGGTCACTTGGGGGGGGAGGTCACGGTCACCACGGGGTCACTGTGGCACCATGGGGTCACCACGGGGTCACTTTATGGTCACTTTCCTGAGCGGTCACTCACTGCCCTCGTGTCCCTGGCAGGTGTGACCACGCTGGGGACGGTGACAGGGACAGTGTCCACCAGCCTGGCCGGAGGGGCAGGTGGCCACAGCGCCACGGCCTCGCTGGCCACACCCATCACCACCCTGGGGACAATCGCCACCCTGTCCAGCCAGGTCCTGAACCCCGCGGCCATCACGGCCACTGCGGCCGGCGGCGGCCTGGGGACACCGACCATCACCATGCAGGTGAGGGGACACTGGGGACACTGGGGACACTGACCATCACCATGAGGGTGAGGGGACACTGGGGACACTGGGGATACTGACCATCACCATGAGGGTGAGGGGACACTGGGGACACTGACCATCACCATGAGGGTCAGGGGACACTGGGGACACTGACCATCACCATGAGGGTGAGGGGACACTGGGGACACTGGGGATACTGACCATCACCATGAGAGTGAGGGGACACTGGGGACAGGGGACACTGACCATCACCATGAGGGTGAGGGGACACTGGGGACACTGGGGACAGGGGACACTGACCATCACCATGAGAGTGAGGGGACACTGGGGACAGGGGACACTGTCGCCATGAAGGTGAGGGGACACTGGGGACACAGACCATCACCATGAGGGTGAGGGGACACTGGGGACAGGGGACACTGACCATCACCATGAGAGTGAGGGGACACTGGGGACACTGGGGACACTGACCATCACCATGAGAGTGAGGGGACACTGGGGACACTGGGGACACTGACCATCACCATGAGAGTGAGGGGACACTGGGGACAGGGGACACTGACCGTCACCATGAGGGTGAGGGGACA